TGTGGCAGCCAAGATTGAATGAGGGAATACAGTGAAAAAGCATGGGCGTTTTCAAACTACCTTGTGAACAGTTGAAAAGCCTGCTTTACTCCAAAGAATCTAAAATGCAAGTTTACAAGAGAAGTTGGGAAAGCATTTCCTTCTACCCATGTCTTCTGGTTAAACAGAAGGCAAGCCAGTAGTTCTTTGACCTGGTCCTGTGACGTGAACCCAGGGTGAACTGTGATTTGGCAATCAGTCTTGCCCCTGTGACCTCAAAGTCCACTGTGCTTCAGAATTCGAGACACGCTAACCAGGGTGGTGGTGCCCCCTAGTGACTGGAAGCAAACCCAAGTATTGGAAACTCCAGTCAAGTTGCTTTAATAAAGCATTTTGATTTCTGACATTTAAAAAAAAACAAAAGAGTATTTTGAACAGTACTTGCCTTCTTGTATAATTTACAATATAGAACAAGCATCTTTTCTATGTCTTGGTGAACTATCATACTCCTTTCTCAGTTTGGATCTCCTTTCAACATTTTATCCCTGTGCTTTTAATGTTGTGAAATCTTTACAAATTTCCTTTAATTTGAAGTCTTTGCTGGTGTCACTTCCTCTGGGACTTCTTCACTCTTTTCCTTATCACCATTTCCCTCATTTATGTGATAAGTTTGCCTTCACTCCGTTTCTCTGGCTACATATCTAGAATCTCTCTAACAGTATCAGTGTCAACATTCCCACGGTCAGGTCTTTCTTCCATAACTTGACTTACATTCAATTTGAATTTAACTTCCAGCATTATCACTGTTTGTTTCCCCATTGCATTTTTATGTTTGTCGTCAATTATTTTTTTATAATTATTCATTTCTGTAAAATGTCATGTGAGTCCACCCCTGGCAGGCGATGAAACAACACAACTACATGCTGTCTGTGTGGAAGCTCAGTGATAGAGCCCTAGTGATCAATCACTACAGAAGTGGCATGATTAGTTATTGATCATGATGAGCATCTGTTGGTTACATAGTGATTCGTGGATGGAACAAGCAAAGTGTGTACTTCATGCAACTGCTTACAGCAAAGTTACTCTGGTAACTGAAATTTGAACCATGTGTTGGGGGACTGATGTTATTTAATTAAACTGTGGTAACTCAAATTCATGCACATCAGCACTATGCAAAATGAGATTCTTCCTCAAAAGGATGTCACCTCTAACAGAGAAGGCACTACCTGTATCCTCAGTTGCCGGAATAGTGACTACCATATAATAGGTCATCACATTTTCTTAAATAAATGAATGAATACTGCATTGAGGAGATTGGTTTCTACTAGATGATGGATTTCAAAATAAAATTTTTCTCCATTCAATCACCTGGCTCTTGTATTCTAAAATCCTTTCATTAAAGATGACTCTCTCTTCTTAGTGTTTAAAAAATCCTATCGAATAGACTTATTGGGGTGATCACTTTGTGAGGTATATAAATGTCTAATCACTATGTTGTTTTGTACACCTGAAACTAATAATAAGAATAATTGGTCAAAAAAATCCCATCAAATTTCAACATTCTCCAGAAAATAAGAAAGTGGGTGGGTGGGGGGACTGATTGGAGTGTATCAAAGCGGCATGGAAACCAATTATAAACCTTCCAATGGCTAAAACTGGAATGATTTGAGCAACATACAATAATATAGTATTATTGGATTATGCTATGGTCTAAATGTTTTGTCCTCCCAAAAAAAAATGCATGTTAGAATCCTGACAATAGAAGGTGGGGCCTTTATGGAAGGTTAGTATGTCATGAGGGTAGAGTCCTATGAATGAAATTAGTGCCTCATAAAGAGACCCCATAGAGCTCCCTGTGAGAACACAGTG